ATGTGTATGACAGGTCCTTTTCTTCACCTCTCCCTTTAATTTATACCAAGTCCCTGATCCTGCTAACTTTTATGCAAATGCTTACTGAAGGCAATGGGACCACACTTCTGCTTAAAGTTAAGCATCTGCTTAAAGATTTGCAGGATGGAGGCCTGAGTAAATAACTGGATCTGGTAAAAAACTGGATCGGCATGGAAACCCAATTTCATAGGTTTGGAGCCTAAATCTGTGGAATACATCACCACCTTGGAAGAGCCAGAAGTCTATTCTAGAATTCATCCATTTATTTTTGCAGTAATTCTTTCCCAGAAAGCTCTGGGTGCGGTGGTACGTGCCTGTAATCCCAGCTACTTGGGAGGCTGAGACTGGCAGATCGCTCAGAGGTTCTGGGCTGTGGTGCACTATGCTAATTGGGTGTCTGGTGCCACAGACAGCCTGTTTAGCGGGTGGCTGAAGGACTGGCTAGAACAACACGAATGATGTGTTGTGATTAGCGCTCTCTCTGTGAGGACTGATGGACCCATTGATCAAGGTGATCTTTCCCACAAAGCATACACCTTAAAATTCAATACAAGTCACTCTTCTGATACCTTTCTGCTCCCCAACAAGTAAAAATACTGGGTCATATGTTATAAAATTAATTTTTCAGCAAATCACAAAACAATTACCTCAAAGGCAGTCAGAAAGGCAAAGTCACAAACAGCTGTATGTTTATAGATAACCTACCTAGTAAACAGTGGCAGATTTTTAAACAGATAAAGCATAACCATACCTAGGTGGAGGTGGAACAGGTCTCTGGACACTAAAGCAGAGTCCATGAGCTTGACTGGGTCCATGATAAGGATCTTGTCCCAAGATGACAACCTTTACCTGAACACAGACACAAATTAGTACTGATAAGCCAGCAATATTTCTTAATATTTCAAAATATCTAGTACTTAATATATTGCTACAAAGCAAAAATTTCTAGATCAGAGCCAAGCTGCATCTGAAAGAAAGCAGTGCAGAAACAGGAAAGGCCTGGGGAAAAGAGGCCAAGAAAACAGCTAAAGTTTTTAAGAATATTATGTTGTAGTTATGGATGGAAATAACCAATGTATAAATCCGTATTTCAGTATCTAGATGAGAAAACAGGGGCAAAGTATACAAACGCTACAGGAGACAAAGCAGGGTTCACATCCTAAAGCACATCCTAAACTTTCCAGGGAGAAAACTATGAAGAGTCGAACACATGCGTGGCATGCTGGAGCCTGACTGCAAATGCAGCTTTCATCCTATTATCAAAAACATCAGAAGGCGGCAAATCCCGACTCTCTCCCCGGCACTGCAGGGGTCGCCCCAGGGACACTTACCTCTCGGATGTCGCACATCTGCGTCCAGGTGAAGACTTGCTGCGGCGGTGGGTAGACGGTGTGACGTTTTCGCTCGTCTGCTACAAATGCCGTTAGCTAGAGGAAGCAGGGGTGGTGCGCGGTCAGTACAGGCAAGGGAGAGCGGCGGGCACCGGCCACCTACAGAGGAGCTGCCGCAGCAAGACGCTCCTCCCCCGGGCAAAGCCTCCCGCGCTCACTCGCTCACCTGGGAGAAGTAGGGCTTAGTGAACTCCCCCGCCAGCGGCCGCCTCCAGCCCTCTCCGAACCCCGCGGGGACGCTCCGCGAAGCGAGTCTCTGCAGAGCCGCCTCCTTGTTCCTGCGGATCCGCTCCAGCTGCTCGGGGCTCAGCGGAGGGGAGCAGGGCGAGGCCTTCCCCGATTCATCTTCCACCGGCTTCTGCTTTTTGGCGAAGTTGGCCTGGCGGTCGCGACACAAGAGACTGCTACAGGGGAGGCGCAGCACGCGGCGGCCCTGCCCCGCGCGGAGAAACCAGGTGCAGGCCCGCCCCATGGTGGAGGGAGGGGCGCGCCGGGCCGGGAGGGCGCAGCTCGCTCCCAGCCACCCCGGGGTACCGCAGGAGAGCTACTGTGGCCGGAGCGTCCGGGCTCGGGCGCAGTGGAGGCCGCTGGGGGCCCCCAGCCTAGGCGGGGCTAAGTGACAGCTGCTCCCTGCGCCGCGCAAACACGTGGCTGCTTCGCGGGAAAACAGCGCGTGTTTCCCCCACGGGAGCGCCCTTCCTATTGGACGTTCAGTCACAGAAAGCGCACCTGGCACTCTAGCCGCGCCCTCCCGTTCCTCATTGGGCGCTGGCAGGGCCACCGCTCCCCTTATTGGCCCCTTGCTCTGAAGGCCCGCCGACTGACCTCCCCGCGTTATCAACCCCGCCCAGGCACACTCCTCCGATTGGACACGGAGAATAGAAAACAGCTCCCTACCGGCCAGTGTCAACCGAAGTCCCGCCCAGTTGTCTGGCCCCACCCCTCTCCCAGCTCTGCGCTCCCATTGGACCGTGGGTCACGGAGAGCCCTCCTATTGGTCAATCCCCCAAAGCGGCGCCGCTTTGATCGGCGGGACTTTTAAATGAACTGTGCTCCGGGCTCGCCGCCTCGCCTGTCCGGATTGCCCCCGGGTCCCGCCCGGCCCCTCGGTACCTCAGCGTCCCCGCCCTGCTCCGGGGAGCGCTCCCGCTTCCTCGGCGGCGCCGCGCGGAAGAACGAGTGCAGCGTCTTCTGGCCGATCATGCCGGCGGCGGGTGGGCTCCGCGGGTCCGGCCACACACGGGACCCGGCGGCGGTCCGGCCAGCCGAGGACAGGCGGCCTCTTCCCCACACGGGAGCCGGCAGCGGCAGTGGCCGGCGGCTGCCTGGCTGAAGGACTGCCCGAAATTGGCGCCAAGCGAGTGCGCATGCGCGGGGAGGGGAGGGGGGGCCATGGGCGTAGCACGTGCAGGAGAGGGACCCTAGACGCAGTCAGCGCGTGCGCATTAGGGCAGTCTCCTCCCCCGCCCCTCAGAGCCCTCACGCACGTGGGTAGCAGGCCTTGGTTTTCATTCCCAGTTCCCGTGTGGATCTAACCCCCCTGCCCACGCTCAGTGACTCACCCCGCCCACCTGTGGGTCTGTCCTGCTCCCCCCCTGCTGTGTGTATCCCACCTGCCCCCCACACTCCCCTCTGGCACTCCCATGCACCCCCTCGCCCCGTTCTCCTGTGGGGTTCACCCCCGCTTCACTCTAATCCAGGTGCTGTGCGGCCTGCAGGCAGATGGGGTGGAAGCAGCAGTGAGGGGGGCAATGACAGAGCATCGGGGAGAGGCGGGCTGCACGGCCCGTAGAGTGCCCAGCCCCATGGGGCCCTGACCCTGACAGCTCTTTGGGTGCTGCTGTGATAGAAACGGAAGAACTGGGCCTGAATAAAGCAGGGGGATGACACCAGGAGGGGACACGAGCCTCAACTCCAAAGGTACTGCCCAAGTAGTGGAGAAGCTAGTTCTGCCCGTTGAAAGCTTTGGCTGTGCTTGTGTGGTTTGTCGTCCCAAGAAGGCAGAGTGAACATGCACACTTCTCCCCTCTGTTCTTGCAGTCAGCCTTTGTCCATTCCCAGCCTGCCCTGATCTTGTTTTCAAACTCAGAAATTGGCACTTTGAGGCTGGCCACCACATCTCTTCGTAGCTTCAGTGCAGTGCAACACAGGTGGGCTTTGATGGATCAGAACAAGGGCTATTTGGCAAGCAAAATAAAATAACTTAACTCTTACATGACAGGTTCCTCAGAGCTCTTTACAAATGCTAAGTAACTCATCCTATCATCGTGTCGGAGGAAGCTGAAAAAAATCAACAGGGACTTGTGTGCATTACAATTAAAGTTAATTATTATTGTTTATATGACTGCACCTGGTTAGTAACCTCAACACATTAGGGCCTCATTGTGCTAAGTATTATACAGATGCTGACCCTGCCAACCCTGAGTTTACACTCTAAATAGAGGAAAGTGACTTACCCAAGGTCATCCAGCAAGTCAGTGGCAGAGCCAAGACTAGAACCTATATCTTCTGAGTCCCAACCTATCTCCTTATGCAGTAAACCAGGCTGCCTCTTAAGTTGTGCCAAAGACACTAGGGGTCCAGAACACCATGGCCCTGTCAGTACAACTGTGAATAGCACTTGCACCTCAGTTTCATTCCATGCATGCCCCTCTTCTGCCCTGACTCCCTCCCCTTTGCATTTAACTGATCCCCTCCTAAGTACATCTACACCAAAAATAAATAAATAAATAAAATAAATTTAAATATGGTACTAACATGGCATTTGCCACAACCCATCATTCACTCCGCTGGTGTGTTCTACCCCTTTTCCCACCCTGGATCTATCTGGTCTGTTTAGATTGTTAGGTCTTTGGCATAGGGACTGTTTACTATTCTGTGTTTGTACAGCACCTGACTATGGGCCCCATTCTTGATTGGCCGTCAGGCACAACTTTAATAAAAATGATTAATAATATAACTGATGTGGGATAAATCCCTCATTTGGTCATTTTGTTAGCAAAGGAGTGAACACACACGTGACATGGATCCTGGAATGCATGCATGAAATGCAGCCTTAAATTTTCTAGGCCAGAACACTAGGAGCTGTGCTATAATGAGTGTTTACTAAGCTATACACATTACAATAAAAGCAGGTTTCAGAGTAACAGCCGTGTTAGTCTGTATTCGCAAAAAGAACAGGAGGACTTGTGGCACCTTAGAGACTAACCAATTTATTTGAGCATGAGCTTTCGTGAGCTACAGCTAACTTCATCGGATGCATACTGTGGATGCATCCGATGAAGTGAGCTGTAGCTCACAAAAGCTTATGCTCAAATAAATTGGTTAGTCTCTAAGGTGCCACAAGTCCTCCTTTTCTTTTTACAATAAAAGTGACATTGAGTTTTGTAAAGCCTTATATGAAGCCCTCAAAGCCATACAAAATAAATAACATTGTTCGGCCCAGTCACCTGTTAAACAGGGCTGTGTACACTTATGATGCATATAAATAATGTGGTGGATTCAGTAAGCAGGCAGATAGTGGTTTCTAATCATTTATAAATGATTCTAAGAAGAGCCAGTAGGTGGTGCCAGGGGACCTTGCTACAAGCCTTGCAGAGCACAACAAGCGCTTGGCTGGGAGAGCTGAGCAAGGGTGGAACATTTGGCTCGCTGTCTCAGACAGGAAGTAGTGGGAGGGAAGTAGGTATTGCTGCTGGAAATGAGGCCTGCCAGAGCTGTCTCCATAGCCTAGATGCCTTTAGCGAGCTGACGGCCCGGCCAGTTTCAGTGGAGTCCTCTGTAATGATCTGTCTGACCCTAGGAGCATTGCCCAGACTGAGGATTACCCTGGAATAACTGAGTGCATTGGAGCTGGCCCTCCATTCCGCAGAGGTACAGCGATCCCCCCTCTCAGTTAGGATTCACATTAAGGTATTTTTAAGTCTCTGTTACTTGGGAGCAAGGATTTTACAGGTGTGTTTCAACGAAGCATTTAAAATTTCCCAGGACACTGTAGTTCCACGCAGCCCAGAATCTAACAGAGTGAAATCCCATCAGGCCCTTTAGTTGCAGGCTGATGGCTGTTTCTTAGGGGCAGCTAGGAATGGATAAATTCTTGGTCAAAAGGCCTTCCCCAGGCAAGAACAAACAAGAGCCCTTAGAGATGAAGGGAGGAGAGCTGGACTGTATGAGAGATGGGGGAGAGAAGAAAAGGCCCCGGTCAGAAATGCCAGGTGCAGATGAGTTCTTGGTGCATTCTCCATGGAAGCAAATCCGGGCTGAGGGTCTGAACTGCGATTACAAGATCCTGTTCGGCAAAACTGAGGCTGACAAGATTTTCCAGGAGCTGGAAAAGGAAGTGGAATATTTTGAAGGTAAACAGACTAACGGACCTAATGTCTCTTCCATCTCTAATTGCCATGACAAATTCTGCCTTATGACTTCAGTGCAGGATTGGATAGGTGGGAGGAAGTTTTTACGCATAAGGCCCAAGCCTGCATGCAGTCTGCACACTCAGACTCTTACTTCTAAGTGGATTCTCATTGGCTTTAATGGGATTAAAGATCCCAATGGGTAGATGTGTTTGCATGATCAGGTAAGTGGCAAACGTAGGCTCTGATCCTTCAAATATACATATGCTTAACATTAAGCACATAAATGCAGCGAGCTCACTCACATTCTTAAGTTTATGCGTGATCAAGGCCACAACATGAAACATACAAAACACATGAAAGGTGAAAGGATTCAAGTTTTTAGCTCTGTTATTCTACAGTTATTCCCTCTCATTCAACAACAGGGAGTGACATGGGAGAAGCTCAGACCAATGTGCTATTTCCATCCCTCATAAGGAGTCTCATACATGTAGATCTCTAGTCTTAGTCAGCTTCCCGTCATTTTCCTGGACAGCAACATTTAAAAATTGAGAGGTTTTTAAGCTAAGACGTGCAGTACCACTTAGTTGCATTGTCATTCTAAGTCACACTCAGAGCAGCTGCACAGCAAGGAATATGTTGTACTCTGCTCTGCAGAGGGAATGATTGATAGTTGCACTTGACCTAACTCTAAACTTTAAAAAAAACACTGCTACTTAGCTATCTAAAAGGAGGGCAAATTGGTCTTGACTTTCTCAAACTCTTATTCAAACAGGTGATCTTACCAAAGTGCAAGTGTTTGGCAAATGGCACAACATCCCAAGGAAGCAGGTGACATATGGAGATCCTGAGTTAACATACACTTACTCAGGTGTTACCTTTTCTCCTAAGCTATGGATCCCAGTTCTCAACCGTATCAGAGAGCGCATCACCCTGGCCACTGGACACACTTTTAATTTTGTTCTTATTAACAGGTAACATTTGATTTCTGATGGCAGTAAGCATCTCTCTGTTCAAGCAACAGTTTGATTGTAGGACATTTTACTAATCAGGTATCATTAAGCAGTTATTCGCCACTTCATTTTACCCTCGAAAAGGAATTTGTGGATATGCAACTTCCAATTTAGCGTTAACTAGCTAATAGAGTACTTGAAAGCATTCAAAAAGCTAAGCTCTTTCTTTAGTGTCTGCATTGTAGTATCTAAATGGAGACAGTTCTGTTACAGCTGCATGATTAAACACCGGGGACCCAATCCTATGTTCCTTGCACACCTGTTGAGACAAGGAGTAGGCTCAGCCGAGTGGCATCCCAGTGACTACAAACCAAGCAAAGAATTGGTGTTTGAACTGGGTCATTTTCGAGGAGGAAAGAGAGAAGTGAGGGAGGGAACCTCTCTCCAAGATATGCGTTTGTTCCAGATTTTCAATGTGTTCTGCAGAAGCATAACCAAGTCACGGGAAACTCTCTTCCATTCAAGCCCTGCACAGAATGCAGATTTGTCTGTGAGGCTAAGGCAGTTATGTTTCAAGGGAGCCCCTCAGTCTTTCCCATCCAGATAACCAACTCGCAAGTGTGTGGGTCAGTTTTGTGTGGTAGAAAAGCATCCAGGAGGGTGAGAATGCTAGACTCATTTGTGACTAAATTAAGATTTGAACTCTGGTTTCCAGGAACAGTCTCCATGTGTGGGTATAAAAAATAAATATGCTGAAGTAAAGCAGTGTCTTGGCATACGCTTGTACAGTTGATGGAAGAATTAATTTAATCTTCCCCTCACAGATATAAAGATGGCTGTGATCACATAGGCGAACATCGAGATGATGAGAGAGAATTGGTTCCACAGAGTCCCATCGCGTCAGTGTCCTTTGGAGCCTGCAGAGACTTTTTCTTCAGGCATGGTGCTTCCCGTGGGAAAAACGCCTCATGCCACATTGAGCCCGTCAAGCTGCAGCTGGCCCATGGCAGTTTACTAATGATGAACTACCCCACCAACGTGTACTGGTATCATAGCCTGCCCACCCGCAAGAAGGTGCTCGCCCCAAGAATCAACCTGACATTTCGGAAAGTGATGGCTTTAGCAAAAAAATGAAGTTATTTAACAACCTGACATCTAGCTTTAAACAGCGCCTTTTACCTCTGAAAATGAGAACTTTCTTTCCATGTCATAAATCAATTTCTCTTTCAAACACTGCCTTTTCCTTTGCATATATAGCAAGAGATAGGAACCTTGCTGTGGTGCAAGCTTTGTCACATGAGTGTATTTAAATTAGGAAAGCAAACAGGGGGAATAACATGCAGTTGTTTAGATACAAATATGGCAACCACTTGATCTTGGATGTCAAGATTATATTCCTACAGCCAAGTACTACTGTAGACTCATAGTATATTTTTCGAATGCTATTCTCCTTGGTTCAGAAGGGAGGTTTATTTTTAAGCCCATGGTAGTCCTATCAGTGAGTATGCCTTGTTTTTTGTTTTTAAGTCTCAAGTGTGTACAGCTGCCTACTAAATACTAATGTACCATAGAATGTAATAATTCCCAGTAAGTCTGAAATGTATGGGAGTGCATGACTGCTCTACAACTGAGTCATGTATATTTTTTAAATAAAAATAAAAGATTCTTCTACAAGAAGGGAATGCTGATTGTTTAAATGACAAACTTCCCCTTTACAATTTGATTGTAACTGGTGCAGGTTTGGAAACAGGACTGCACAGTTCTGGAGCTTCTGAAGATATATACCAACAAACCAACAAGAACTGTTACTTATCTTACAGTAACTATGGTTCTTGGAGATGTATTGTCCAGATGGATTCCACTTTTGTTGCGTATGTGCCTGAGATAGAATTCTTTTGGCCAGCAGTGTCCCCTGGGATTGCACCTACTCCATAGATAACCTCACACACCGACCTCCCGAGGGCAGAAGGGGATAAGCAGGCCTTCCTCAGTTCCTTTGCCAATACAAATCCAGGAGGTATAAGACATCATCATGAAGCCCTGCACATCAGTGGCAGTAGTCATTGAATATGCTGCCATATTAGATGGGTCTAGAGCTGCCTGCAGAGATGTTTGGCCCACTAACTACCCCTCAGACAGTAGGGGACTGTGCTGAGGAAGCTTCTCTATGAATTGTGACACCTTGTCCCAGTTCAGATAGTTGTATTTTGAGAGCAGTGCCTGATAACTGGAAATTTGCTTCTGGAGACTAACTGAGGAGTTAGAATAAATCAAGCTTCGTAGGATTCTATGATTCTGATTCTTGTTCCTACATCGTGTCTTTGGATGCCCCTGTTGCTTAGATCTTTCATCTATCGCCGCCACCACCACTAGTGATCCGGGGGCGGGGGTGGGGTGATATTGTAAACATATTCTAATCTCAGAGGGTAACTGATAGCACTTGTCAGCTCTTTTGGAAGTAGATGCCACTGATGCTAGGATCTGTCACAACTCCTTAGCTGGTTCTAACAAGTAATGTACATGACAAACCTACCAGGCATGAAGGAGTGCAGGAGGCCTAGTAATGTGTGACTTTTCTTGTACAACCTCCACTAGAATCTCTGAATTATCTGCCATGCATTTTGGAAGGCCTTGAAGTTAGCTGGCTGGCTAGGAGTAGGAGTGACTGCCTCATCTGGTGAGGAGGAAGAAATTTCTGTTGGAAACAGCTGATCTTTCACCTCCTGATGCTATTCTTCCTCACTGCTCTCTTCTTGTTGTAGGATGTGGGTTTGCACCAGCTAACCCTGTTGAGTAGATCTCTCTTGTCTTGGAGGGAGATTAATTCTAGAGGGGGTAGTAGAAGGTGATCCTAGGTTACATATGCTAGGGAGCCCAAAATGGCCAAGATTGCATGCTGTTATAATACAAGGCTGGACACCACATGGGTGGAAACCATAAGGAATGTTCTCTATGAGATCCTGGAGTCCTGTGCTTATTAGGGTGACCTATGACTTTCTATCAGACCAGTGATGCTCAAAAGTGTGAAACTGAGGTGCAGAGGAAGACCATCTTCCTTACTATGTGAAGGAGAGAAAGAAAATGAATATTCTTCCTCATGCAGGGGAGCTACCCTGTTAGGTATCATAGGATCCTCCTGCAACGCAGACTTAACAGGTGAGTTTATAGGTACTGTGGTAGATTAGAAGTTGGTACCAAGACAGAAGCACCTCTGTTGGCTGATGAAGATAGTAGGGGTGAGTCTCGTTGCTTGGTTACCATAAGATCACTCGGTACTGAGAATGTCTTCAGAGCCAAGTAAATCTGTACTGGAAACATCTGCACCATGGAGTCTGGTGTCAAAATCATGGGCACCAAGGTTATCCATACTGAGGATTTGGTAGCTGGGAAAGTGCAGACCAGAGTTTCAAGTGGCATCGCTAGTACCTGGTGTTCAGCTAGTTCTGAGGTGTCAGAAGGACCTGGTCTGGGCTGTGAACTGCCTTTTGGCTGAAGGCATGAGCTGATTCAAAACCATGGTGGGTTTTGTCTTACTGCGTACGAGGGTGGGTGACCCTTGCCTGTGGTTGTCCTTGGAGCAATGCTTCTTCCTACCCGTTTCAGACAATGGCTGGGTGAAGGAATGCTTGTCTGCTCTGCCATACCCAGTAGCAGAGGGGTACTGTCTCTTCGACAAAGAATGTGCCTGGGAACTCAACAGGGCACTTCTCAAAAGAGACAGAGGCAGCTTAAGAGGATTTTTAGGTCCAGGCTCTGAAGAGGCCCTCATTGAGCAGTCTAAAAGGAAGAGCTAGGAGGCTTCCCTGGGTTTGTTATACTCTTGGGAAAAGAGCGGCAGACTGAACCTTTATCAGGGCTATATACCCGAGACAGAATAGTCTTCAAGAATGTCAATCATTGAGCTGTACAGCAGCTTCACAAGAGGGACAAGTTTTAAATCCTGAGGATTTAGTCTCAACCACAGTAGCTATGTACCATGGTAGCCCCTAAACATATAGATGTACTGCCAAAAGGTGTAACAAAAACAACTATTAACTACACTAACTAATGAATTATACTAACCTAACAACCATTGCTTAGTGTGCAGAGTATGTGGATGCTACAGGGGTTCTGTTCCACTGCCATGGGCGGTAAGGAACTGGTTGGGCCCTATATGCCCTCAGGTTGTAGCTGCAGGCATGTCCCCAAGAGACAATGCTGGCCAAAAGAATCCAAACTCATGGTTAGGGGCTCCATACACACAAACACTCCAAGAACTGGTTGCCTATGCATGTGTGCTGGTGTAGCCCTCACGTTGATATTTTACTGTGTGTATACAAGATTTGTTACACTAACTAAAAACTCGAACTTTGAGTACTACAGACTTGTCAGTGTCTTGTGTTCAACCACGGAACAGAGCAAATCAGGAGCTCACACTGGCCGGTATTGCAGGCCACTGCATTAGAAAAGGAAAAGACATCGCTGCTGCCTCTCACTAGTCTTTTGTTTCAATCCATCACCACCTGTATCCAGATACCTTTTCTAATAAGTTGGTTCTTTTATTGCTACTGTACAGGACAGGTACAAAAACTCCCATAAGGCAATAGGAAGTTCGAAGACAGCAGTGTTGGAAATGAAGTGCAGTGGTTTGGACTCTTAACATCATACCTTTTATTAACATGTGCATTAAAACAAGAATAATTCAATTAAAGAGCTGTTTTCTTAGTTCTACCAGAGTAAGCAGAGGTCAGTTTTCTATATGGTTAATGTGTCATAACATTCCTTTATTCCATTCATAAGCACCTTTTCAACAACTCTAGCCTTTGAGAAATTAAAATACTGTTATTGGCTGGCAGAGACTAGCCCCACAATCCTACAAGCTGAGCCATTTGGGTGTACCCCTCCCCCTGAACAGAGACATATTGCTTTCAAAAGGTATCTGCCCAGGAGGCTCAGCTGGCCAGACTGCGTTCAGGGTCTGACTGTGAGGGGTGCCAACCATCTGCAAGTCTCTGAAGCCAATGTAAGTTGTGGTTTCTCAGCATCATGACCAAGATGCTGACACTTCTCCACAACCAGTGGACTTGTTCAAATACTATCAATGAGCAGACACTCCCACAAAATCAAAGGAGTTACAATTTCAAAGCAGACCCTGTTGAGCCTCGCTATGGCAGCATATACACTGTCAGATGGAAATGTTTTGAAGGTCAGAGGTACAACTGGCAGGATTTCTGTAGACAGATGCTTTGCATGCGTTTCTTGCCCCGCTGACAACCAGCACTGCTTTGCAAAGCCCATAGTGCTCACTTCTATCTATCTGCAATAGAGAAGCATCAGCCTCAGGTATTCTTTTTTTGCTTTTGTGGGTCACATGCTGAGTTTAGGTCTTATTTCAATAGTCACAAAGTTCATTGGTATTACATATTTTTTTAAATAGTAATAAAATTAGTAAGGTAAAAAAAGTGCTTCTAACACAGAAGCCAAGGTTTCTTTGGACCGGATAGGTCAATGGATTTATACAGACTTCTCTGGGTTATGAGCATTATTCTGAGTAGAGATTATGATCCCCACTCTGGAATGACTTCAGTTAAGTGTTATATACATTCATAGCCTCTGATCTTGTGGCTGTTTTTCTCAGTCTTCTATTAAAAAGCTCCGAATGCATATGAACAACATTGGGCTGTTGAATGATATGGATCCAAAATATACAAAATTACAGTAAAAAACTTTTTGGAAAAAAAAGCTACTTTAGAGAGGCAGTAGATATTGTCTGAAAAGTCAGTCAATGTTTTCCACTGAAAACATCTAGTCTGACTTCCTCCCTCACACGCACACACCCAAAGTACATAAATAGAAAAGAACTCCCATGTCTGTCCATTTTATCCCCATTAATTTAAAAACAGCCAAAAGGATTTCTTGACTCTGTCCCCATCTCTCTCTTTTTTTTTTTTTTACACACCAAAGAGCACAGAGCAGCAATATACGGTTAATATCAAACTCTTTAAAAACAGCAATATCTAATGCAGTGATACCAACCTGTTCAGGCTACTGTACTATTTTACTGGACTAAGTGCCAACCACTGCCCATGCAATTGTGTGTATTCTAACCCACCATGACACATGTTGCTTTAAATCCCAGGCTCACAATCACAACCGGTTCAAGCGCCATTGCAGATCAGAAGGCATTCATTAGGAGGGATGATAGGGAATGGCAGTGTTCATCATTAAGATAAGAAAGGTGAGTTTAGAGTACCAATCAGTCACCTTTAAGATTAGCACTGAGAAGCACAGTCTACCTGATGCTCTAAAGCAACAGTATCGAATTGTTTTACAGAGACAGAAGACATTACCATAGTGATTGCTAGCAGACACTGCTCTCTCTTCACATCTTTTAACAGTATGAGGATATGGAACAACAAATCAGTGTCTCAGTTCCAATTGATCAACAATTTGAGTATTTCCCTGAAACAGAAAACTGCAGTTTGGATTGACATAAATACTTCTATGATGTACAAAGAAATGAAATATTAGGGGAAAAAGATACAAATAGGAAAGGGTTTTTTTGGATCAAGCATGTTTGGTAGAGACAACTTGTTTAGTTGCTTAGCTGGGGTTATGACAAGAAATGTGATTCAGTTAATAGTTCTTCATATCACTTTGATATCAATGTTTACCAGAATGTAGACAATGGTAATGTAACCATTTAAATAACCTCAAGGCACTTCATTTTTTAAATCATTGCCTTTGATAACAGTAATTTCTCATCAATCACTTCTCGGGCTCCCCTGCTAAGAAATATCTTAAGGAGACACTAAGCAGCTCCACCTGAAAACATGCATACAGGTCAGAATAAAAAGATGTGGCCCTGGAAAGTCCTTGTTTTAAATTCCATGTTTCAAATCTGTGGTGCAGAGAGAATATTATCTGAACAGCAAATATGCTTCTCTAATGCAGACACACCCTGGAGTGCCCAGCACCAGCAGACCAACTTTGGGCAGCGTCGTTTTGGTATCAGACACTAGCTCCCTGCAGTAGCCAGGCTCCATTGCCAGGCAGGTGTGGACGATCGAAGGGCATCCAGTGGGCTATTTGCACAACAGCCAGGAGGTGCAATCTACACCTCACAAGAGCAGTTTTCTCATGTTTTATCCTTCTCCAGAGGCCCAAGTTATTCTTCAGCCCTGAACTCCTGAGTTTGGTGCTGCACTCTTGAGGGAACACGCTCATAAAAGAGCAGGTAAGCACTAGATGAAAGCACTTCTTGCAAACTAGCTTTGCGCACAGTGTCATCTGAAATCCACAACCACTGGTTACTAACAGAGAGTGCGGACTTGGCAGAAGGCGGAGAGCGGCGATATGTCACAAAGTGTCCAGAATGCATGTCCCCATGATGAACTACAACAGCCATCAGACGGTAGAGGTACACTGGGGAACTGAAGGGCAAATGAGACAACGGAAGAGGTCAGCGGCACTTGTGTATCAAACACGTACCTGGAGAATCACCAGTCACTTTAATTTTCAGTAGCAAGTTCATTTTAAAGCATGTTTTTCATTCCATGGACCCCCTTCATAAGAGATGCACTCTCACACCAACACATTCCCTCATAACACCCGAGGCCTTCACTGTGATTGTCAAAATGCTTCACTCTTCTCCATCCGGGAGAACAGAACTGCTGCTTTGAGGACTAACGAAAACAGTCTCTGGAACGTCTTCTGGAGAGGGCCACTGCATACTGTGCAGCACACTGGCTCTGAATTTTGCAGGGAGGCCTCCCACCTGTTTCCTTTAGTGTGTGACTGCTAAGTTCTGCAGCAGTGTCAATGGTAAAAGTTATCCCAGGACATGTGATTTTAACAGAAAAAACATAAAACTACACGACACTATCCCTATATAATAATGGAAGCCTCTCAAGTACTTGCTCCATGCACCTGTTTTTCTAACCTATGAATCTCACCATACCCTTCCTGAAACAAGTCATGGGTGCAAGCAAAGGCAAGGAATACCTTAAGTCAGTATATACCCCAGGGAAAAGATACATGATTACAGATAAGAACAGACGTTATAGGAGCTATATATCAGCCACATGGGAAAAGTGAATATTCTCAGAAACTAGGAGAGCTCTGGGAAAAATATTTAACAGGACAAATATTAGGCCTGATCATCACAAGAGCAGGGTGCCCACAGCTCTAACAGAAGCTGCAGGGAGCAGCAAGCACACAGCTCCTCTGAAAAACAGGCTCCTTAAATACGAGATTTTTTTTTTTTTTAAGTCTACATGAAATGACAAACACTTATTTGTTCTCAAAAGTCAAGAGAAAAGAAAAGGGAGATATCAGGGAAGAGGCAGCAGTTAAAAGATGACGGCTCTGCAGTAAGAAGCTTGCTGCACTCGCGATTTTTTCTCCATCAGAGCAAAAGCAACCAGAGAAAGGAGATTTTGAACTCTTCACTTATAATTCACACAACTCCTTTTACTAGCTGGGGACACAGGGAGCAGAGTAGAACTGCCAAATCACCCAAACAGAAAGGGGTAGAAATCCTTTGCTAACGAGGAGGACACTTGCAGTAGCTGGGATAAATGGTAAATTATGTGACTACCGAATCACAGTAAAGATGGAATAAAGGAAATTATTAACCTACATCAGTTTTAAGCACAGGTAGAAATTATGAAATAACTTCAAAAGTCTGTCTTACCTGCAGTCTGGAACTACTGCAAGTGGGAAAGTTATCGGGGACGTTAATAATGAAGAAGAGCAGGCACCATTCATAAAGAATGATTTAGTGCTACATGTCTGCTCCAGATCTGCCAGAGAAATGATACATTCAGTGATTTAACTGATCTGCAGCTTAACTATTAATATTACAAATAGCCCTGTGCTCTCTATGGCACCTTTCATTAGAGAATTTGAAAGCACTTTACCATTAATTAATTAAACCTCACGATTCCCTAATGAGGAAGGGGAACATTATATCCAAGGACACTGTTAACAGCTCATAGTACAATTGGCTGCAAGAGACCTGCTCTTTTTGGGTTATTTGAAGTAGTAGTTAGCCTTCGATTCAAGTAATCATTTGAAGACTTGGGACCAGCAGCAACAAGGGAATTAAGCTCTAATGATGTGATACAATATAGTCATAGAAATTTGAGCAAACTGTTTCCAGTTTGTGACTATTTTCTTTATTTCTTTAAGCAAAAAGTTGTGGCATTATCAAGCAAGGGCACAGTCTGCATGCCTAACGCCTCCTCAATGGCTGTTCCTGCCAACAAAAGACTTCTTTAGAGCTGAATTCTGACTTTAACGGGCACCCTGCACACTGAAGGCTGACTGGATCCGGGGCCATTTTTCAAATGCACAGTTTTTGACACAGGATCCTATAAACTCTTTCCTATGTGAACAGGCCCCATGAACTCTATAGGGTTCCTCACATGAACAACGGTTTGTAGGATCAGGCCCCTTTCATTAAACACTGTATAATTTACACCTTGAACTGCCCTGCAATTTCAACATTAGTTTTGACACAGGGTCTGATTGTGACCACATTATATGAAAGCTCCAGGGTCTGCACTCCCCCTGCAATACAGTCATAGTTGGAGCTCCCTTGGTTTAAAAGTGGTAGTCTACGAACAAGACATTCTCTGTGAGGACCTATCGACTTTGGAACTCACTCATCCTTTGGGGCTAAAGCAGCACAGTTCTCCACAGCCCACCTATACTCCAAGTATTTTGGAATGGGAATGAACAGTAAATTTGTAAGAATTGTATTTTAAATATATGTCAAGGGGCCAAAGCCTGCTGGGAAAGGGGATCTTTCTAGGTTTTAGTAAAATCAAAATAAATATATTTTTTCTTATACACTGATAAACTACCTGATATTTTTTATTTTCAGATCAAATACCTGAGGCTTTTACTGCTGACCCATCCTTTGTTTCAGACGACATCCATGGATTGCCTTTCTGGTTTAGATCATGCTGGCTTGATTTATGGACAGGGAGGTGGTATTTGTAGATGTCCATGATCAGGAACTCGTTGAACTGCACATGTTCATGACGTTTCAGAGGCATACCTTGGTCTGACCAGCTCAGCCTTTGCAGATGGATACATAGACACTGAGGGAGCTTCAAGCACATTCCACAGAAATATGTCAACAGACATATTAAAAATAAGAAGAAACGACTGCTTGATTTAAAACTATATTCTTGGAACTAGAATTAAAGTCCAAGAGAGTAAATGGTGAAGTGGATTACTAAACTGGTTTCTCATCTGCTACTATATCTGTATGTAAGCTCATTAGAAGTAATACCTATAATACAAAGTATAAAGCATGACAGTCAGAAGAGAGGTTTCTAATAACACTAGCATAATTTATTAGATAGGATGATGGACAAAATTAACAGGGTTTGCCACATGTGGGAAAAGTCAATAAAAACACATGCATGTTTAAACTTGTCCAGCGCAGACCAAAGATTCTGATCAATATAATCCCTTGGGGACAGAGGATCCGGGTCCCTTGCAGTTAGTGCATTCTACTGTACCCAGAGCTAAGTTTTCACGTGCAATGTTTCTGTGCCTGGTCACAGCGAAACGAGCAAGCGCCGTGGAAAACAGAATCAAACAGTTACATTGTTTTACATCCAAAATGCAGCACAGGGTTTTACTGCCTCTTTCAATTAGGTTATTAGTATTACCGTCGTGCCTATGGGCTCTAGTAGTAGATCCAGACCCAATTGTGCTGCGGGCTGCACAAACACAGAACAATCTAAGTTGTTTCAGCTGTTTATTACCATGTTCGCCCACCCAATCACCGGGATGCAGAATGGGGCTTATTTATTTATTTTAAGAACATGCAATTGCTTAGGGATGGCAAAGTGTTTAACAAAATATACATAGGAATTATTTCATTCACCACTGAAATACAGAATCACATATTTTTATTGCTGAATCTCAAGGGACATATAAGCCACAACTCAGCAATACATATGTTTACACATACTGTAGAATTAAGGTGAGATTATTCATGTGCTTAATGTTAAGCATAGGCTTAAGTGCTTTGCTGAGTCAAGGTGTTATGGCATACAAAACTGCCAAATGAGCTCACATTTAAGCGCAAAATAGAATATGAATGGGCTCCAAGCTCAATGCCAAGAAGTGGGTATCAAAATAACAGACTGAAGAGATAAGTCACTGGATTGTTTTAGAAGACACTTCTGTAAAGGCTTTAAAAAATAAATTTTCCAGATCAATTTGTCTCACCTTCCCTAGCTTTAATTGTTTAACAAACGTTGTTCTCTGGTTTTCTGTGGTTTGCCCATTCAGTGTCTCTTCTGCCTGAATCTGAAATCAAAGGAAACACAATTACAGCCATTTAATTATCCATAATATTAAATTACACAAACCAATATTGGGGGTGTGCATATGCCGAAAAATAGTAGTTTCTTATCTAGGGCTATGCTCAGGTTTAAACAGTTTGTTTTGATTTAACCATTTGCCAGCTATTTGTAACTTCAGAAGTGCAGAACTATACCAGTGCATGAGAATTAAGAAGTGAAACTAAATAGAAACATTTATAGAAAGTGCCCATGAACACAGAAGTTCTGGGTTCAAGTCTAACCTTTAGCCATTCTCTGTCTGATCTTAGACACGTTACTCTTGCTCCCTGTGCTACAGTCAAGTTACAAGTATTTGTAAAACAATGTTTAAAGATCAGAAAAAAAACATCCCACCCAGGATATTATAAAATTTAATAGTTGGCAATCTCTGAGTATTCCAGGATCTGTAAAGTGCTTTACAAACTACTAATAATTTAAGACTCCTAACAGCCTGTGAGGTAGTATCCACACTTCAGAGGTGATGAAACTGAGGGTTCAGCAAGTCAGCAGCAGTGCAAGGAGTAGAACCTAGGAGTCCTGACTCTGAGTCACTTGATCTAGAAACTGAGCTGGAAGAGTATATAAATTAAAATTACATACTTTAGTGCAATTGTCACATACAACATCCTTTACTGATTCAGAAGAGATGAAATGGTGGAGGCAGTGGTCCAGTGTCATAGGACGACCCTGAGTGCGAGAAAAAATAACTTTGCACTGATTTTATGATGTACACAATTAAATTCTGTTAAAGGATTTTAGTCATCTATTTAATAGGAATTAATACATTCTGAGCTAAATCCTGGCTCCTCCACAAAGCTAGAGTAGAAGGGCTTTGAGCAGAGAACATACAGAAGGTTGGTGGGGGAAATGGAAGCCTCCTCCTTCCTCCCAGTTTATCCTTATAGTCTATGTGCAGGAGTAGTAGCCATAGGATCGTAAGACTAGAAGAGACCTCAAGAGGTCATTTAGTCCAGTCCCCTGCACTAAGGCAGGATTAAGTATTATCTAGACCATCCCTGACAGGTTTGTCTAACCTGTTCTTAAAAACCTCCAGTGACAGAGATTCCATTACCTCCCTCGGTAATTTGTTCCATAACACTTCCTGTGTCACCTTCTTAGCGGGGTTTTGAACCAGTGGATCCCTGGCCCTCTTACAATACTTCCCTCCACAATTACACAGTGCCCCATGAAACACCTTCTGCAGCCCAACCCCTTGCCCAGCAGGAATGTGGCCTTCTGGCTGTATTTTACGTCTCATGCATTAATTGCTTTCTTGCTATTTTTAGCTGTCTTTTCGATGGCAAAAATCTATACTGCTGGTGAGCTGGGGTCATCTTCTACTTGGGTATACAAGTAGGAAACTAGCACAGACAAAGTGTCAAAAGCCTGGTTCTGTTCTCCCCTAGGCATTGGCACAAAACTCCTATGAATGCAAATGGCTGTTCCATGAACACACTAAGGGGATAACGGACCTCTTGTCTGGAGACACAAACTTGTAGCACACAGTATATGAGGGGCCCAAACTTTGCAATACCAAGGACCACACAAATTTTGAATACAAGTGGACTATTGGTAATCTAATAATAACTTTGCACACAACAATAATATTTGTCCAGACTTGTATCTCCTTTAGAGCAGTGTTTCTCGATGACCGGTATGTGGACCAGTACTGGTCCCTGAGATCTATGAGACACAGTTTAGAAAGGCAGCAAGCTGGTCCCTTGTATCAAAAAGGTTGAGAAACACTGCTTTAGAGATTAACAGAAATGGCTTCTTCCTTGAAATTACCAGCTCTAACAGCCTACAATTTGGCAGCTTTGTCCTCACTCTACTCATAGGGAGAAAGCAAGCAGAGGCACATTCTAGGACTTTGCAGGAAACACACAGCCCTTGGTTGCACTTTGGTATCTCTAGATATGCAGACAGGGCCAAATTTATCACTGGTGTAGGCAGACAACTCCATTGGTATCAGTGAAGTTACACTTGGTTACCTCAGCTAGAAATTTGCCCCACTACGTTCAGAGTAAGATACTGAATCAGAAAAATCTACTAAAACAACAACAAAAATTAATAAAATTTAATAAAATTAATTCTAAATTACTGATTTACAATTTCACCCCATCATCTTAAATTCAGACATAGGACTAGAGTCAAGAATAAAGCTTTGACTATAAGGCAGCGTGTAATACAGAATGGATCATGCTTCAGCAGAAAGCACATACCCACATGGCTGCTGGAATACTCAGCGAAAGACTGTCAAATGTATCACACCTCACAGGACTCTGAAAGAAAACATTTCACATGTCCACAGGGTTACAGTCCACCTTCAGCCTAATGAAAACAGGCCCAAGCACTCTCTACTTCTATGGACCTAAGTGGTAGTTAAGGGTACTAACACCTCACAGGACTGGACTCTAACTAGATATAATCTGATCTGGATTTGTATTTCTACAGCAAATACAGCAAAATTAGTTACAAACAATTCAAAGATCGGGTAAAAATATCTTCTGGTTAGATCAGTGGAGGGCAGGTTCATTTTTTTCTGCAAAGAAAGAGTTTTGGAAATTGTTTTGTAAATATTTGAGTAGAATTTTTCAATGGCAGCAGAAGATATTCTGTAAGCATTAGGTACTGTTTCCTCTGTCCAGCACAGAAGTCAACACTCCCGGCTCAATCCCACATTTACTGCACAAGAATCAACAGGAACACTGGCTGTTTGAAGACTGAATGATCAAGTCTTAAAATGCTACCTGTGCTACCGGATGTCTCTTATAACACAAATCTGCAAGGGAAGGGCAAATACTAAAAGCAATATTTAAGTTACAATCACCACACTTATAAAACAAAGCATGGTCACAATTTTGTTTTTTTCATTATTATTACATATTTGTACGCACCAATGCTGTCCTAGGCACTTTACAGACAAATACAAAAACAAAGTCCTTGCCCTGGTGTGGTTACAATGTAAGTCCCCAATCCTGCAAATTTTCAGGATTGCACAAAATAAAACAAAAGATGGTAGTTGTCACTAAAGAATCCACTAGAATGTACTTTGATTAAGCTTTCCTTTTTTATTTATAATTATATTAATTTTATTAATTTTAATATTATATTTATTTTATTTATAATTAATATCAAACACACAAATTCTTGTACCTGGTGTTTGCAGTGTTTGCAAAGCATGTTACTTGTCAACCTTCCATGAAAAGGATGTTGAGACTTCCAGTGACTTGACATGGGGTGAAGTGACCCTGAATACAAAGTTGTAACTGTCTTTAATATTTAGTACTTCCATGTTCATCATGATCATTATAATACCTGGATTTTTTATTTCTTTGGGGTTGGTTTTTTTACAGCTGTTAAAACCCAGGTTTTTTAAAAACACTTTACTTTCGGTTTACAAATCTTTAATTAACATTGTCTTTGGAGACATTTAAAAATGCATTCCAGGTCACTAGAAACAGATCAAATAATTGTTGTCATAACCATACAGCTAAGGGTAGCCTAGAATTCCTCTTACCTGTAAGGGGTTAAGAAGCTCAAATAACCTGTTTCAGAGTAGCAGCCGTGTTAGTCTGTATCCGCAAAAAGAAAAGGAGTACTTGTGGCACCTTAGAGACTAACAAATTTATTTGAGAATAAGCTTCGTGAGCTACAGCTCACTTCATTGGATGCATTCCCGATGAAGTGAGCTGTAGCTCACGAAACCTTATGCTCAAATAAATTTGTTAGTCTCTAAGGTGCCACAAGTACTCCTTCAAATAACCTGGTTGGCACCTGACCAAAAGGACCAATGGGGAAAGAAGATACTTTCAAATCTTGGGGTGGGAGGAGAGGCTTTGTTTTTGGTGTGTTCTCTTGGGAAGCAGAGAAGCATCAGGTCAGAAAACTCCTTCTCCTATAAACCATCCTAAAAGTCTCTCATATTACAAATTGTAAGTAAAAGCCAGGCAAGGTGTGTTAGATGATCTTTTGTTCTGCTTGTTAATGTTTCCTTTGCTGGAAGGAGGTTTATTCCTGTTTTTTGTAACTTTGAAACTAAGCCTAGAGGAAGTTCTGCTGTGTTTTTGAATCTTTTGTTACTCTGTAAAGTTATTTTCCATCCTGATTTTACAGAGGTGATTTTTACCTTTTTTTAAAATAAAATCCTTCTTTTAAGAACCTGACTGATTTCTCTATTGTCCTAAGACCCAGGGGTTTCGGTATGTGATCCCTTTGTAACCAATTGGTTAGGATATTATTCTCAAGTCTCGCCAGGAAAGGGGGTGTAAGGGCTTGGGGGGATATTTTGGGGGAACAGGAACTTTAAGTGGTCCTTTTCCTGTTTCTTTGTTAAATCACTTGATGGTAGCAGCCTACCGTCCAAGGGCAAAAAATTTGTGCCTTGGGGAAGTTTTAACCTAAGCTGGTAGAAATAAGCTTAGGGGTTCCTTCATGCGGGTCCCCACATCTGTACCCTAGAGTTCAGAGTGGGGAGGGAACCCTGACAATAGTAATATTACTTCAATAAGTAAAACAACTACTGTTGCCATGTCTATAAGCAAATGGAAACATTTAACATTTTTTCAAGGGAGAAAATGTTACCTCTTGTCCTGCAGCTTATTTGCTTTTGGGTTATTTCTGGCTGCTACAGAGGAGGAAAAAATATTGTATTAAATCTCACCTTACAAAATCTTAAATATGCTCTCATTTTAGTCTAAAAATTGTACCTTTAAAAAATAATATTTAGGGACAACCAATGAAACTGAAAAGCAATTAATTTAAAATGGATAAAAGAAGTGTTTCTTATATAATGCACCATGAACGCTGGAACTTGTAGCAACAAGATACTGAGAGCTTACAACTGCTTACAACAATTGCTAAAAGCTGAACAGATAGAATAAAATTGCTAATTGTGGAAGATTAGGAAGAAACTTCTCCTCTGAGTAGTTTATTCCATAATTGTCCATTATAGTTTCTTGTATCTCCCTCTAAAGCACTTGGTGTATTGACAACTATTAGAGACAGGATATCTGATTAGATGGACTAATGGTCTTGGCCATTATGGCAATTCCTATTGTCCATCCATACAGTATACTGAGATTCTCAAATGGATGGTGCTGTGGGCCCAATCCCATGTGATGCTGAGTGCCCTCAACTCCCACAGCTCCTTGCATGACTGGGTCAATATAAATGCAAAGCACTAAAATATTATATTGCTTTGAAAAGTTTTTTTTTTTCAATTTGCTAGCTTTATTAATTCATTTTTATCCAAAGATGGAAGAACAGCATTGCATATTTAGTATCTAAACAGGCTCTATCACTTTAAAGGAAAAGGAAATAACATTTTTATACAGTTTTACCTGTAATGAATGCACATCAAACAAGTGTGTGATCCGGGGCTGACGATCTCGCTCATCTTCCAACGAAGATGTAAGGACATGGAATAGTTCATGAGCATCCTATTAAAGGGGGATATACAACTTAGAGGGAAATCAAACAAGACAGCATCAACAAACATACCAAGAATGTGTGTGCACATAGGAATCTGTAATGGCAAAATGGGGTGTTAATTTTTCCTTTAAGAAGAAATGATTACACTTTTAGGACCCAGTTAATTTAATAATAACCACTTAGGCTGAGAGGAGATATGATTGCTCTCTCTAAATACATTTGGGAGTAAACACAAGAGAGGAAGAAGAGATATTTAAGCAAAAGGACAATGCTGGCACAAGAACAAATGAGTATAAATTGGCCATGAATACATTCAAGCAGGAAATGAGAAGGTTTTCTAACCATTTGAGGAGTAAGGTTCTAGAACAGCCTCCCAATACGAGTAGTGGGAGCAAACAACCTTGCTTATTTTAAGATGGAGCTTTATAAATTTATCAACAGGATTATATGATGGCGTTCCCTGCAATAACAAGGGACTGGACTTGATCATCCACGAGGACCCTTCCAGTCCTATATCCCTATGCATGTGCTACAATTTTGCTAACAATCTTTTCTGCAAAGCTAGGCCCACAACAGTGTACAAAATATTTTTTAAATGTATTTGTGGCATATAACACTGAAAGAATACCGAAGAGTACACACGCAAAAAATATACTCACAATAATGACCCAAAAGCCTGCTTTCCACTGAGGTCAGTGGTGAAATTGACTAACTTCAATGAGAGCAGAATTGAACTCTTACATCATTTGTTTTGGATATGAAGTATAAAATATACAACGATATTTATAGAAGAGCAACTGAACCAATTTACTGACCCCAACCAACTTCACACACTTAGGAGCAGAAAATATTTTTCAAATACAATAGATTCTACTTATTCTCCTCAGTTTCCAGGAAAAAGTTGCCTTTATCCGGCAGTTGCTAACAAGGAGAAGGCAGGTTTGCGAGGCTGCAGCGAGAAAAGGAAATGCTGGGATGTGCCTTCCCTGGCTGCACCCCTGCAAACCAGCAGGATGATGGAGTTTCTATTGGGAGCTGGGGGCTCATATCCCTCTCTGTGCTCTCTGGGGGTCAAAGCTTAGCATGTGCCAGCACATCCTTCCCTGGGTGCAGCCCCTGAGCAGGGTACAGCCTGGAGAGTGCAGGGAGAGGTGCCATGCAGCTCTGGCATGTGGGCTGCAGCCTCCCTACCCACTACTGCCCCGTCCACAGCCTCTTACCTTCTGTGCCATCCCTGTGCGGCAGCATGTTTGTTGGCCTGCAACCCCAGAAGGAAGCATTGGGATGGGCTGAGCACCAGCCACAGGCAGGTTTGTAGGGCTGCAGCCAGGGTAGGCAATCCTTAGCACTTCCTTCCCTGGCTGCATCCTTGCAAATCTGCTGACAGCTGGGACCTTTTTTCCAAGAATCAAATGAATGGTGTTACTAAGCAGCATGCTGTTGCCAATATCTGCATCCTGTGAACATTAAAGTCAATGTAATGGGATTGGTTCCTGGCAAAATGCTACTATTAACCGGAAGTTGTCAATACACATGTTGCTATTAAGTAGAATCTACTGTATTGGGTGTCTCTGCACAACTTGCAGACATATGCACTGTGTACAAGATCTAGAAGCCCCGTTGGTTATGTGTAACTAAATCTGGGAGCCTTAAGAAAACAGAGGGAACTTCCTTAGAAACAGAAACCAGGTTATTTTATCATGGCCCTGTTGAAGTCAATGGCAAAACTTGCATTGACTTTAATGGGGCCAGGATTTTACCCCCTGGAATCTTGTCACTACTGGCAGCATCATACCAAACACTGACAGTTGAAAGGCATTAGAGTCTGAATCAGGCGTCTCTAAAACAAACTGAAGATGTCATGTATTAATCACATTGCTGCTTACTTTTAGTTACTAAAGACAACTTTTCACCATGCTGAAGAGGATCTTTGAAAACTCGTGGCGAACAGGGGAAGTCCCGGATGACTGGAAAAAGGCTAATGTAGTGCCAATCTTTAAAAAAGGGAAGGAGGAGGATCCTGGGAACTACAGGCCAGTCAGCCTCACCTCAGTCCCTGGAAAAATCATGGAGCAGGTCCTCAAAGAATCAATCCTGAAGCACTTGCATGAGAGGAAAGTGACCAGGAACAGCCAGCATGGATTCACCAAGGGAAGGTCATGCCTGACTAATCTAATCGCCTTTTATGATGAGATTACTGGTTCTGTGGATGAAGGGAAAGCAGTGGATGTATTGTTTCTTGACTTTAGCAAAGCTTTTGACACGGTCTCCCACAGTATTCTTGTCAGCAAGTTAAGGAAGTATGGGCTGGATGAATGCACTATAAGGTGGGTAGAAAGCTGGCTAGATTGTCGGGCTCAACGGGTAGTGATCAATGGCTCCATGTCTAGTTGGCAGCCGGTATCAAATGGAGTGCCCCAAGGGTCGGTCCTGGGGCCGGTTTTGTTCAATATCTTCATAAATGATCTGGAGGATGGTGTGGATTGCACTCTCAGCAAATTTGCGGATGATACTAAACTGGGAGGAGTGGTAGATACGCTGGAGGGGAGGGATAGGATACAGAAGGACCTAGACAAATTGGAGGATTGGGCCAAAAGAAATCTGATGAGGTTCAATAAGGATAAGTGCAGGGTCCTGCACTTAGGACGGAAGAACCCAATGCACCGCTACAGAGTAGGGACCGAATGGCTAGGCAGCAGTTCTGCGGAAAAGGACCTAGGGGTGACAGTGGACGAGAAGCTGGATATGAGTCAGCAGTGTGCCCTTGTTGCCAAGAAGGCCAATGGCATTTTGGGATGTATAAGTAGGGGCATAGCGAGCAGATCGAGGGACGTGATCGTTCCCCTCTATTCGACATTGGTGAGGCCTCATCTGGAGTACTGTGTCCAGTTTTGGGCCCCCCACTTCAAGAAGGATGTGGATAAATTGGAGAGAGTCCAGCGAAGGGCAACAAAAATGATTAGGGGTCTGGAACACATGACTTATGAGGAGAGGCTGAGGAAACTGGGATTGTTTAGTCTGCAGAAGAGAAGAATGAGGGGGGATTTGATAGCTGCTTTCAACTACCTGAAAGGGGGTTCCAAAGAGGATGGCTCTAGACTGTTCTCAATGGTAGCAGATGACAGAACGAGGAGTAATGGTCTCAAGTTGCAGTGGGGGAGGTTTAGATTGGATATTAGGAAAAACTTTTTCACTAAGAGGGTGGTGAAACACTGGAATGCGTTACCTAGGGAGGTGGTAGAATCTCCTTCCTTAGAGGTTTTTAAGGTCAGGCTTGACAAAGCCCTGGCTGGGATGATTTAACTGGGATTTGGTCCTGCTTCGAGCAGGGGGTTGGACTAGATGACCTTCTGGGGTCCCTTCCAACCCTTATATTCTATGATTCTATGATTCAGATTTGATACTCAGATCTATAAATACCATATATTACATAAGGCACCTATCATCACAGTATCTAACATATACTATAATCTAGTTTGAAATTTGTAATCACCTGCTCTTCAAATGACGAGATCTGCCACCTGTACAACCTTAACACTTCTAACAAACAGCTTGCATCCAGGACATCATCTTCTGTGACCTCTTGGCAGGATAAAGCTGGAGGTATTAAATTCAAAATGATAAATGGAGCCACTAAGATTGGTTAGATCACAAAACCTGGATATAGTGGGCCTAATTTCTTTTCACTTACAACAGTGGAATGATTTAACACATGCTTAAGTACAAGGAGCTGCCCCAGCCACTGATCCACAGCTGCGCAGTTATTTCTTAGTTATGTCTGAGAGGAATGATTTGCAGAATGCCTTTTTTTCCCTTCCTCAACAACTGTAAATGATTGTAAATCCTTGTTCTCCAGTTATATTTATTTTAAAACCTCGCCCTCTGATCTCTCCTTCAGATTCCATAACAACAATGCAGGTGGGGGCAGGGAAAGGGGCAAGACCCTGGCACCTCATTCAACTTTACAACAACTTTGAATGGAAAAATCCTTTTTCAAGGAAAGAGGAGAGTAGAGGGGACTTGGAAAATGAAATATTACTTATTGTGGAGCTAATCCTTCCTTCAGAAGTAGAGGTTTGAGAGATTCCTTGGTGGGACTTAGGAAGGAACTAATAACCTGAGGACAGGGTGGATAAAAATCAATTATTTTTTTTTTTAAATCCAAAAAATCTATCAGATTTTTTTGATAAAATGCTTTTTGAGGAAAAAACCTATCTAAAGGTAGTTTTAATTAAAATACATTACAGCTCAAAGATATCTCATCATGGAATAGGGATTATAAATTCTAATTCTATAGTATGAGACAATATATTCATGTAATGTCAAAGAACAATTTTGTAAATGAGTTCCAATAGTTCATGGATTAGGAACCCAATTTTATGGGGTTCCAGGGGCTTCTGTATAGATTATTTAGGTTAATCTTTCTATCTACCCAATGGGACTCAGTGCTCAGCCTAGAAGATACCCTCATAGATGCTTAGTTTTGCAGTTCTCAGACTGTGGATTTGTGTCCCCAGAGATAACAGGCTTGTTAACAGCAACAATGTTTTAAAATAAATAAATAAATAAATATATAGAGGTGAGACATAACAAACCTCAACCTTATTGTCCCTCTGCAGATTTGTGTACACACAATCCCTTACCTCTCTCTAAAAGTTTCAAAAAGTTCAATGAATAGAAGACTACTGTGGGAGGAATAGATCTGGACAAGGAGAAGAAGTCTGGAGATAAATGTGAGAAGGGAGGGACAGGCAATAGAAAAAAAGTGAAACTGTTTGAGCAGCATATTCCAGAAGTCTTGAGGTCTTTCTGAGTGTAGCCTTCATTGATTTGAGATCTACCATATCATTCTCTCACTAGAAGGGAAAACCTATAATGGCAGCAGGCAGTAAAAGAGACCCAGTTTGGGAATATTTTAATGAAGTTCCTCTACCTGCGAAGAATATGTATTAAGGTTATAATAAACAACAAGAACGCACTTTTATGTAGAAATCCATGACTAAATCGAGTCTTCCTGATTTAAATCACCCTACCTCAGGGAGCTGCATTGACTCAATAGTAATGAAAATCTGGGCAAATAAAAAAATCTGAGCTTTCAACAGAGTTAATGGACCCCAAGATACAGTCATTTCTTTGTACATAGAGAACACCATCAAGTCAGCTAATTAAATTTGCCTATTAAATCCCACAATCTTCATTAAAGTATAAGAAATTTAGTTTTCTGATCTTTTTATCCAACATCACATATGCTCTTTCATGTATTTATCTGAGAAATTTCCTTCTCTCTAGGAAATGTTTACATTAAATTATAGTAAATGAAAGTACTTTCTGATTGAATTCTGAGCGTGACAACTGTTGTGAGACACCTCTGTGATATTAAAAATTAAAGATTTCTTACTTTCTGCACCGTGCAAATTAGTTTCTTAAAAACAGTAACATATTAGGTTTTATCAATTATTTTCTTGTTAATGTAACCTAATCCCTTAAAAGTTTAACAACATGATACCTTTCAGGAGGCACAGCAAAGTAAGGGACAAATATTGGTGCTCCGATGATTCATTCTGATCAGTCTTGTATTGGGCTGTAAAGTCCTCCAGCCACTTGATGAAAGATGGACAAGCAGATAAGCCTTGCAGCAAAGAGTTCATGAAACAGGTGTTTCCTAAGTTGAGAAGGCCAGGCACAAGCCCTGGAAATATGCATTAACAATTTACATTCTAGAGTCTAGGACAGTTTTTTTTAATGGAAAGTGACATGGTGCATGTGACCTTTTATTTGGTATTTACAACTGTTATTTAAGAAATCAGAAGACACTCAAACATACAATAGTGTTATGGTCTCTAAGAATCATGCCATTGTAAAAAAAAATTTAAACTTTCTCTGAAAAATGTTCTTGACTGAATTTTAGAAAGCAGTACTTTAACACTATCAAGCATGGATTACTGTAGGATTATTTGAAAATTACCATATAAATTGGAATTAACTGTAATGTATTTAATTTTCAATTTGTGACTTGTTATACTATCTGCAAGGTTAAAGGCCCTGATCCTGGGGTCCTGCCTCATGACTGCGGCTCCTAAGTGTTAAAATAATACATAAAATAATTAGTAATAATAAAAATAATAATAATCCTGCTAACATTTACATATGTGCTTAATTTTTACACATGTGAATAGCTTGTATGAAACTATTAAGATGTGTGAAGTTAAACACATTCATAAGTGTTTCCAGGATGGGGGCCTAAACTATGTGCCTTTGCACACCTCGTCTCAATTTAGTGAGATCTCCTTCCCTATGAGATTAGTATTGTATTAGGGATGCTCTCCAGTTCTCAAAGATTTGTGTAAAATATTTCTTTACTCTAGCTATTTGTAGTATGAATATTTACTTTCCAAAGCAGAAGACATTAACTTATCCTGTGCTTATGTTCAATCAAAAGGTGTTTATTTTGTGTATTTGTTTAAATTTTATTGAATTTCGGTAGGTAATACAAACATATTACAAAACACAAACAAAGCATGCCTAATATGTATCATCATAATTTTTAAAATTTTAAATTTACATAGAAAATAAAAATCTTTTATTGATACAGACTAATTCAGATAGGAGGCAACATGATCCACTGACCAAAATTTAAATTTTGCTATATAACAAAAGGTTTTACAAAATCTAATGATTAAAAGAAAAGGAAAAACATTTCTAACATCCAAAGTCTCAGCTCAAAAGAAATTTAAACCCACAATAAAATGAAAAATTTACTATTCTCTCCTCCTTTCTAGATAATATTATGAGAATTTATTAATCATTAGCACACATTTTTCTGTTACTGGATATGGATAATTTTGATCAGTTTAGAACTTTCCCCACCTTTCCTGCGTTTCTTTCTTTCTGTGATGGGACCCCAGAGAACATATATGCCTGCTGCCAGAGCAGCAGCAATTCCACCAACAACACCCCAGTTCTTCATTACTTTATGCCTAAAAAAGTAAGGGGGAAAGTCTGCTTGCTGTCTTCTACTGGAAAATCAGTAACAACATTAACACATCATGTAGGAATTATAGGCAAGGACACTGTAATACACAGAACACTGTTATTTTTCTCCGGTACAATCCTATTTTTGTGTGTTTTTACCCCCAGTCATGTCTTTGGTAATTGTTACACCATCAGTACATCTCTCCTGTAAACAAAGGATCCAAAGTTTGCAAATCAGAGGACTAGCTTTCAGCACAAGTTGCTAATATGTGGTCCCTCTGAGTTGGGGTGCTGCGCTCAATCCAGTCGCCCTTAGGCTGGCAGTATTACAGACACAAGTGCCTGCTGTTCCCTGGGGGAGGATCTCTCTATCTACACGCTTCAGAGTAGCAGCCGTGTTAGTCTGTATACGTAAGAAAAGGAGGACTTGTGGCGCCTTAGAGACTAACCAATTTATTTGAGCAGAAGCTTTCGTGATCACTGCATCGGATCCGATGAAGCGAGCTGTAGCTCACGAAAGCTTACGCCCAAATAAACTGGTTAGTCTCTAAGGCGCCACAAGTCCTCCTGTTCTTTCTACAGACACGGTAACACACAAGAAATAAATCCTGGCTCACGGCTGAATGAAACCGGCCACATGACAAGTCAGTAAATTGAAGTTCAGAATAACGCCAGGCAGTCGGAGTCCACATGCCAACACCGCCCCCTCCTCGGCTCTGAGGTAAATTATTTTCTGGATGTGTAACAACGGAAAGTGAAACGGGCGGGGGGGGGGGGCAAAGATCTTCAGTGAATTCACAACCCAGGAAGGGTTTCAAAATACAAAGTCCCCGCTGGCCGGCCGCCTTCCCGCTGGGGCGAACCGCACGTGTATCGACCCCCCGGCGCCGCGACATGCCCCGGGCTGACGCCGAGACCCGAGCGTGCCCCCGGGCAGAAGTGAAACCCCCGCGCACGCCGCCTCTCGGGCAGGGCGGGACGCCCGCTGCGGTCACCCCCCTGGGGCGAGGAGGCTGCAGCCGGTGGCCTGGCTGGGCCCCGTCACTCAACGGCCTCCCTGCGAGCCGGCGCCAAGCTGCCCCCTCCCGGGGTGTCAGATACGGACCCGGCCCACCTGGGTGCTCCGGCCTCCGCCGCGCCGCCCCGGCCTCCATGGAGGGGCCCCACACGCTGCCCCCCTCAGGGCCTACTCTCCCCTTCGCACCCGCCCCCACTCTCCTCCTACCCAACCCCATGTTTCCTTCTCGCCCCTCCCCCCTCGGAGGCGGCGGCGGCGGCGGCTGTAGTAGCCCTCCCCCGCACCCGGTTCCCGCCGTTCCTGACCTGACCGCGCCTCCGGCCCGCAGGAGCCGCCTGACCGCTCTGCCCGTCTCCCCGGCCAGCATGCCCCGAGCCCTTCCTGCTGCCGCCGGCCGGAACCAAAGACACCGAGAGGCGCGGGGTCCAGGGGGCGGAAGATGGAGGGGACCGGACCGGAAGCGGCCGGGTCGGACCTTGTTAGCGCGCGGATCCCCTAGCAACGGGCTCTTGGGGAGCGGCTGGTTGCTACGGCCTGGAGACTGGCGGCAGGATTCCTCCCCTTCCCGCCACCCCAGCTGCGCTCGGCGGGGCCGGGTCGATCTGGCCGGGCAGCTCAGCAGAGCAACCAGCTGCCCTCGATGTGTTGCCACTGAGCCAGTGGGAGGTTTGCTCCTGGGGTCAGCTCCTTGTGCGACAATCCCAGCTGGCCCTAAACGAAGAGCGAAGTTTGGCGCTGGGTGCAGAAGAGCTGGAAAGCACAACCCCTGACGCCCCAGCCCGGGAGGCCACGAAGGAGCCAGTAGTCCCTGTTGTTGTAATGGAAATCTCACCATTTTTCAGTTACTCTCACCATTTTAGGGGCCCCGAATCATGCTTTTTGAACGCTTGGGGTTACTTCTAACAACACCGCAGCCGCCACTCACAACATCATTTTGCAGCATCGCGAAATGTCGCCAGAAAAGGTTTCTTCTGCCTTGCCACAAAGTGTCACCAGGAAATGTCACTGTGGTGCCTCAACGTCTTGCCCCGAAATATCTCGGGGGCACTGCAAATGTCTCTGCATTGCCACAAAGAGTTCTGCTTGCGCACCTGCTCTGCGGCCGCCTCTCCTCTCGTACAGCGGCAAGACTGTGGTGGCGCTGGCGTGGCTCTGCTTGTGTTCCCCAAGCTGGTGGGTGGATTTCACTCTGAATAAATTTCAGAGCCAACTGACTTAATTTACAAGTTAACAGGTGAGTTTTCTAGCTGCCATTTGCTGCAAGCTACTCAACTGGGATCTAAAGACAAGCTGAGTTCTATCTGTCTCATGCATCTCTGCTAGTAGTAAAGATGTTGCAGTTGGAAATTAGCTGTCCATGTTGATTAATGGCCTCCAGAATAGAGGCTCCAGCTCATTCTCCTATAATTGGATTGGCTCCGAAGAGCTGACAAGAGGAAAAATTAAAAGTCAGATCTGCTCACCTTCCTCTTATGAGTAGTCCCACTGATTTTAAGAGTGAGTGCCGTTAACTTGAACAGTTACTCATGTGAGTAAAGTGAACATGATTTGGCTTTTGGTTTTATCGATAATGTAAGTGGATGTGACAAAATATAGGCCAATTTAATGAGTAAATGTTTTTTTAAACTAAATCTTGAAAAACAGAGTTACTGTAATATTAATAGAATACTTTGGAACAGTTAAAAATCACAGATTATAAAGATGAACAGAAGGGCTTTCACTTGTTCACAGACTTCTGTGTTTGTCTTGCAAGTCAGGGATGTCACAGATGTCTAAAGCAGGGCAGGAGTTACTTTCCTTAGGCTGCTTTAGGGGTACATGATGTTTATCATCCACTCTAGCAAAGGTAAAATAGAACTCTGGGCTTAACAAGTCAGCCAGATAGAAACTGATACGGAACACTTTTCTTTCAATAAATATTTATGAATAATTTTGAAATCTTCACGTGTATTCAGTTTAAAGTTGCCAATTTTGGTTGGATGTATTCCTGGAGATTTCATCACATGATATAGTATTTAATTAAAGATTAATCTTTAATTCCTGGAGACTGCAGGACAATCCTGGAGGGTTGGCAACCCTAATTCAGTTAGGCCCAAATCCTCTCTGCTGTGCAAAGCCAGAATAAACAGGCATGCATGGCACAGCAGCCATTGGAGAGAAGATAGACGAAGAATCCTCCCAGACTGTGGAAAGGCAGTGGATCTGTTCAGGAAATGCTACTGAGACTTTTGAGAGCACCTCAAGATGGCAGCTGCCACTCATTATTAGGGGCCTTGGCAGTTAACAGTCATTTTCGTTTTCAACTAATTACTAAATTGATTCTAAGGGCTTTTGTTAGCCAAATGTCTGGCATATTAGATGTCTTTCAGGCCGAGCTCCTATTTGCCTGAGATCATTCAGTGCATGGCAGAATGACAGGGGAGCAGCTGTTAGAGAGAAGGAGAGCAGCTGGAAGGGTAGGGGGAATAGACAGCAGGGGGTTGATAGAACCAGGGGAGCATTAGAGAGAAGATGAGAGAGAAATTTTAAAAAAGAAACAAACCTAGGCCTGGCAGCTGTAGGATGCACATTGAATGTATCATTCTCATAAATGTCTAATGCCTATTAAATGCTTAGTGCAGGAGGAGAGGGACAGTGTATGGCAGTGCTTCTCAAGCTATCTGACGTGGGGGACCGGCAATTTTTTTTCCAGTGTGCGCGCAGACCGGCAGCCGATGGCTCGCGGACCGCCATCGGTCCGCGGACCACCACTTTGAGTAGCACTGGTGTCGGGAACCTTATATTGCTATTTTAGACCTTTAATTAGTGCATAAATTGTCTTATCCAGGGGCACCTGGCTTAGTAAAGGAGTAGGGTAGTCACTGTATTGTTTAAAAAAAAAGTTCTCTCTGCTACAGAATGACCTTTTTCAAATAGGACATTAATTTAAAATGCCATTTACTACCAAGATTTTGGAAGAAGCTGTAGCTACATACAGTTGCTGTGATCTCATCTTGTCAGAGACAATTTTGTGGATAAATTTCACTCTGGGATTAGGTCAGTCTGCCCTGCTGAGCCAATTCTGGTTAAGGGCTGTAATGACGGCTTTCCCTTAGCAGTTTCAGTTCAATAACTCCCCTCATTGTAGTGGATTTATCTGCAGCATTTTATTCTGTGGAACATAGCAGCCTTCTTGGATCATTTAATGAATTGAACTGTGTTTGCCTTAACCTGGATTTTCCGAAGAGAAGACACAAATCTTCTTGAAATTTATGATTAAATTTTGTCGGGTGCTCAATCCTGTCTGCTGAAGACTCTTTAACTCTGTATGTTCTGTCTTGAACTATTATCTTCTTTTATTAAAATAAATGTATTGCCTTAAAAAACATTGAGAATCTTTCTATTCCAGGGTTATGGACCTCTTTCATCTCTCTGTGCTGAATCAGTCACTGCCTCTGAATGTTTCCAGTATTCAAGTGACATGACAGGGGTGTGTGGAGGGATGCTGGTTTATTTTAATAGTCCCTCAGAATAATTCCTTGCTCCTCCTTTGTTGGCCATTATTTTTTCATCTTGTCTCTATAGCCAGGACTTAAGAACCAGTTGGCTTGTCAAGAATTACTGCCAACTCTACTTTCTTAATATGAGAAAGCAGCAAATCTAAAATCTTAGCCAGTGATCAAGAATTAATCAGTACTGGGTTAAACTATTAGCCAGCAAACACTAACAGGAAATATTGTCTGGCTCTAGCAATATCTTTTGTTGCTGATTCCTTTGTTCTTTTGGCCTTTGTCTTATGAGTCTTTAAGGGAAGCACTGCAGCACATTCCCTACCAGATGGCCAACAACAATGCTGGCCAGCACAGAGATTGGGGAGAACCACTGGTTCCACCTACTCTTTGTTCCTCCTTTCCTCTTAGGGGAGCTGTTACTAATTAGGGAGCAGTCCCTGCACTCCGTTCAGCACAGGGACTGCAATTCTACCTGGCCCTTGTATGGACTGCACAAGGAGAGAGGAAGCTCCTCACTCCTACTTGCCAGTGCACACCCACATAGGAGTTTGCTGGAATCTAGCCCATAGTGTGGGTGGTTGGGTGGGCACAGATGAACCCACTATTGTGAACTAGGATGTATCTTTCAAAACTCTAGGAGAGGTCTCTGCTGGAGTACTGTGTCCAATTTTGGGAGCCACTTTTTAGCAAAGATGTGGACAAATTGGAGCGAGTCTAGAGGAGAGTAACAAATATAAAAGGTTTAGAAAACCTATGAGGAAAAGTTAAAAAAACAGGGCATGTTTAGTCTTGAGAAAAAAAAGACTGAGGGAGGACATAACTATTTTCAAATATATTAAGAGCTGTTATAAAGAGGACTATGATCAGTTATTCTCCATGTCCACTTTAGGGAAATCAAGAAGTAATAGGCTTAATTTGAAGAAGGGGAGATTTAAGTTAGATATTAGGAAATATTTTCTAACTATGAGGGTAGTTAAGCTCTGGAATAGGCTTCCAAGGGAGGTTGTGGAATCCCCATCATTGTAGGTTTTTAAGAACAGGTTGGACAAACACCTGTCAGGGATAGTGTAGGTTTACTTGGTCTTGCTTCAGGGTGGGGGGCTGTACTTGATGACCTCTCAAGGCCGCTTTCAGTCCTACATTTTTGAGATTCTGTCTCTTGCCGTGACCTCTTTATGCCATAAAGGAGACAGAGTGGCCCCTAGGGAATTTCCATAGCACAACAGTGGTGTAGGGCTCATGTAAGTAGCCTTATGACATGCTCCTGTGCAGCTGTTAGCATAGGATCATGCCAGGGGCAAGAGGAGAAGTGCCTAGAATACTCTCTGCTCTGGCTATTCTAGGCTATGGAAAAGCCCATAGATAGCTATGCAAGCCTGCCTCAAATTACACTGGCTCCTGGGCTTGCTTTACCTAATGCTAGGGGTGGCATCAGACCTTGGAGCTGCCCAGAATTATGGAGATGGGTTTAAAGTCACCTTCACACTTTTTCCACCTAGGCTCTGACTCCTGTGCTGCATCTTGTCGGACATGCAGGCTAGAATCTAGCCCATTGTTTCCCATGGAGGAGAGGGGAAGTCCCAAATTGTTTCAGTGCACAATATGCAAATTTACCAATTCTGGTTATAGGGAAACCCCTCAAGTTATTTTGTAGGAATAAGTGACTTCACAGTAACAAAGTCCCGCGGTGAATTAGGGAGCAACTGTGTCATCCCTAGAGAAGATGGGAAATGTATCTCCTGCTATATAACTCCTGGCAGCCCTTCTGTATCAGCAATGCACTTGTTAAAGTATGTGCATGGTTGGAGGGACTGGCTGGCCAAAGAGCAGCAGTTAGGGGGCAGCTGCTACCCATAGGATTCTCTCACCACAGCCACAGCTGTTCCTTGCAGTATTAGCACCCCGTCCCTGGCTTTCACCG